AGAATCAATAAAATGCGCATTTGTGTATTATTAACTTATCAAGATGGACATTTGCGCTATCCAGAGATTCAACAAATGTATTTGTTAATAGCATTGAGGAAATTCTAATTATTCAAATTTTGTTATGTTAAATATAAAGGAAATCAGTTGTATTTATTTCAAAATTTGAATCGATCGTTTTAAAATTACATAATTAGTGAACACAGTTAATTTGTATAAAAGATTGATAAATACATTACTATCGTTGGATAGTAAAACTGGATATTCAAAACCCTGTTCATATATCATTTTCTGTCGGAGTCAGTTCTCCTTCTGTTGCACTCGAGAAATGCGGAAAATAGAGCATTGATACGCTAATATCGGCCAGGATATACTCCCAAGACTCCGCTGCGGAAGTATAAAAAGCATTGTTTCAAGTTTTCAACCATTAATGGTCCTGTCATTTGCAGTTGTTTTTTTTCTGAATGTCATAAAATAGATCTTTGCTGCATTTTCCAAACACCAAATGATTCCAAAAGATATGTGTGCCATGTTTTGGTTGAAACGATTTCTGAGAATATTAACCGATCAGATGGTAATCCACCTGTCGGTTAATAAGACGTAAACTCAAAGTTATAACAAACGGAAACATAATCGCTTCGTGCACAGTTCGAAAATCTATTGACCGTAAAATAATAAATCGGTTAATGGAATGTGAAACTTTCAAATTTCTACTACTTGTTGAGGATTCTTTTTAAAATGGCTGTCTTTTTTTAAAATGGCTATTTTTCAATAAATTACCTTTAGAAAACATCGAAATTATTGCACAGATAACTTTAAATATGACAAAGTTAATAGTATATATTGCTTTCACCATTTATTGCCAAGCTGCCAACCAAAACCAAGCTAGAAATGCAGCACCACCTGCGCAAGCAGCAGCTGGGGGAGTTGGAGGAGTAGGTATGCATCTCACTTTTTTTATCACTTAATTTGATAACCAATACAAATTAGCTATGTGTATATTCCATTTTGTGTCATTCCAGGTATTTTATTTGAGATTTCTCGTGAAACAGTATTTGATGGCAGCAGTAATTTTAGTGGTAATTCCACCAGCTCGAGTACCACTGACTTTACTTTTGCGGTAGAGAAAACAAGGATTACTTTATTACTTTATTATTTTAGACGGAAAAAATCTGAGAAGTAGAAAACACAATTTCTTATTGTTATGTGCTGATAAGTTTAGACGATATTAATAACCATTTCAAATCTCAGGGGATCAAATCTCAGTTTCGTCCAATAACTTTTATCAGATTAGTTGTGGCATTAATTTTAGCTGCGGAGATTATCACAGATTATAAAGCTGATGAGTTATGGGAAGATGGTCGATTAATAGCGACAAAAAAAGTAAACAAATGTATGTTCATTTCATACAAGGCTGACTCATTAGTATTGTTTAATGCTCAGTGATGAATCATCTCGAGAGCTTTTCA